ACTTGATACAACTAAGAAGGTATTGTATCGAAAGGAAGTCCGAGTCCATCCATATTCAGGTACCTCGTTTATTGCGTACCTTCAGACCATTACCTCCGGCGACTACGTGACATTTTTTCACAACGACCGATTATTTTCGGACGATACGATAAATCAGTAGGTTGTATGACGTTTGACAAGTCCACTCGATAAATAATTTCATCTTGATTCCACTTGTGGGTGTAAGATAACGCGAAGCGAACACACACTTGAACTCGAGGAAGAACATCCACCGCGGGGAGACAATTTTTCCGGAAGCGTGGTTTTACGATCGCGCCGCTCATTTTTGTGGAAAAGAATATAAATTACCTCGTGGAAAGTAAAGTGCGCCGCGTAAGGTTCAGGACATTTGTTTCAATCACCGATATACTTGAGCAAACTGAGATAATTTATCAAGATGATCAAGAACGAACGTGAATCTTCGACGCGGAGACGGCGAGGATATTGGAGAGACCTATCGAGTTGCGCCTCGGATTAACGTTCTTTTACAATTTTCGTTCCCGAAGGAATTCATTTGCGTTAATTTAATCACTCGAAATACGCTCTCAAATGATCCGTACTTTGATCCTTCGTATTTTTAATAACGACGAGAATGTAATCCTTAAAATTTTTTTTAATTAATTTATTCACTCTAAATTATGCTTTTTAACGATCCGTACTTTGATCCTTCGTATTTTTAATAACAACGAGAATGTAATCCTTAAAATTCCTTATGTTAATTTATTCACTCAATATGTGCTCTTACACGATTCGTATTTTTGATAGCAACAACAATCTAATCCTTTGAATTCCTTTAATTCAATTTATTCATTCAAAATGTCCTCTTATATGATTTGTATTTTTATCCTTCACATTTTTCTTAATAACAAGAATCTAATTTTGTAAACTTTTTTGAATTAATTTATTCACTTAAAATTATGCTCTTAAGTAATTCGTAATTTTATCATTCGTATTTTCAATAGTAACAAGAATCTAATCCTGTAAATTATGCTTTTATATGATCCGTGTCTTTAATAATAACGAGAATCTAATTCTGTAAATTCCTTATATTCATTTATTCACTCAATATGTGCTCTTACACGATTCGTATTTTTGCCATTTGTATTTTTTATAGCAACAACAATCCAATCCTGTAAATTCCTTTAAATTAATTTATTCACTCAAACTGTGCTCTTAAATAATGTATATTTTTATCATTCCGTTTAGAGTCACGTTCAGTGTATGTTTTCTTGAAAAGCGTGCTTTTAATAGCAACAGCAATCTAATGAAATAACATACAGCGATCGGGAAATTGAACGCATGCCTTAAAAAATCAAGCTACAGAAAATTTATATTCCTCCAACTTTAAGAAACCCTTTGTTTTTGTACAACATTTTAAATATTAAAACATTATTAACATAAAAGACGTAAAATATTAACACAACAAATATTGACAAAAATTAACATAAAAAACGTTTCTGCATAACTCAGTTTCACACTTTGCGACAATTAGAAAAATTCACCATTGGACGAAAGATTTATCTTTCTACAAGTGTAATAACATGTTGAACTTCATACACATGGCACTGCATCGTTTCTTCCGTGCAAATCTATATGTACGTATTGACGACGAGATGACCAATAGTTTAAAGTTTGAAACTTTGTTTGCAAAGTAGGTATACTGTACTGAGGTAACGAAGTTTCACACGAGCAAACATTGCACTTGAAGGAACTTTCATTATCCGTTCAATTGGTACGAATTGGACTGATCAAGATGAAGTCTACTGGGTGATTGTGAAAATAAAGATGTATTACAGCCTTTTCTTGAATGAAAATTAAACGTTTCGAAACATATTTATTATCTTCTATCGGCAATTACGTTACCATAAGTCTTTCTGAAATTTTTCAAACGTGCAACAGTTACACTCCGTCAATTAATTACATTCGTATACTCGAAGCGGTTTGTAAACACAGAAAGTGAAACTAGCTTTGTATACTATAGTTGCGTATAATAAACATTTCTCATTCACGTGAAATTCTGAACGTTCACTAGAAAGAGGAGAGAAAAAAAGAATCCATTATTACAAGTCGCTGTTCCATTAATAAATCCACGAAGATATACCATTCACAGTAAAACAGGTTTCGAAGTCACGAAAAAATATGAATCTTTCGTCATTTATTATGTAAACTTGAAGAAAAAAAAACAGCTTCAATTAATCTCAGTCTATAAAATCACTGTGCATACATTCGGTGCACGTTCTTTCTCATTTCTCCATTCTTCCGTATTTCTTTCCTCGCTATCGGTTAATTACACTATTTCAGATAAAAAAAAAAACAAAAAACTGATTCTCAAATCGATCACCTCCGAAATACAATAACTTTCCAACGACACATAGGACCTCACAATCGGACAAAGGCAACAAAGTAAAAGCAGAGTACGATGAAAGAAATTAGATTGGACAGGTGGAAACAACACCAAAAGAAGAAAGAGAAACATCGGTGGCTGGTTAGCGAAAAAGGATAAATTCATTAATACATTATCGAGCTTCTATTTTTTTAACGTTTACCGACCTGCACAAAGTGCTGCACACTCTCCAACAGCATACCGTACATTGTATCAGTTGTTTCTGCGATATTACTTCACCAAGTGACGTGCACATTCATAAAAACGAGGAAGAGATTCGTGCCCGGAATCGGGAAAATGATCTTTCGCGATCTTACCGGCGTTCAAGTATAGAACGTGTTGCATCGTCACGGCGAACATGTCGCATTCGTCGTCTTTCAATCAAAGTATTTCGCGCCATTATACGGCAGCGGGTGTCATTTCGGGCTTGCTGTTCTTTTCTCTTTACCGTGTATAGAGAGACTAGTCGGTTTCGCCGGCGCGCTCACTTTCAGCCTCAGCCGCGGGGGTAAATCATCGTGTAGGAAGGGTGGTTGATATTCGCGCCGACTGCGCGCGCACGCTCTCTAGCCCAGTTCCTCCTATCTTTGTGTACACCGACTCGAGCCAAATTGCGTACGTCTAACAGGGAAAACTTCAACGGAATGTGACGAAAACAGGTTGGCTTGTCTTGCTTCACCTAGCGAGCAAAAAGTAGCTTCGTCGATAAGTGATTTTCGAGCTTTCGAGCTCTTAACCCTTGTAGGAATTTGTAAAGTTACAGGAATAATTCAATTTTTGTCAAATTGATGCAATGCCGTATATTTACAGTGGGTGATCAAATTATTCGAGCCACCTGTAAGAAATTTACGAGTTTGCATTACGACGATTAATTTTCGCATGAAAACCTAGTTGATGGCAAACCGAGTTGTATGGGCAGCATTCGACGTGTTAGTCACGTCTGTATACGCAGTTTCAGTGTGTAGTACTGAAACTTTTTTATCAATACCTCGGAAACTAACGATTGGCTGCAGCTAATATTTTATATTTCGGGTCTACCCACCTTTCTTCCCCTTCCTGCCAAATTTCGTGTCGATCGGCGATCAGGGCCTTTCGGAACTACACCCAATCGTTATTACGAAAGTTTAGTACAGAGGGGGCATTGTACGTGGTGTAAATAGAGTTTGTGTATGAAGTGGTAGAGGAGATTTCAAGGTCAAATTAATTTTTTTAAATGCGTTACTATACATCTTTATTCATAATACGATAGCACTTGTTAAGACGAGTGTGTGCCGCGTAAGGTCATCCAATGTAAGGTCAACGTGAATCGCAGGTCGTTGGCAAGCTGAACAATATGCGATTGTGCTATGGACTCGAATTAGATATGCTCGGTATCTGCTAAACTGTCTCTTCAGGTGCTGTGACCTCCTACTATATTGAACGATCTTAAGATGCACACCGTTGTACTCATCTTAACAAACGCTATCATGATTATTATTATCGAGGCTGCTGGATTATTTCTAAGGACGCTGAATAAAATATATCGCCTGAGAGCAAAAATGTCTCAACGTTTCTTCTAAACAAAGACACCAGGAGGATCACTGGATGTATCCGGAGTTCGTCTTAAGGTTAAGACACTCTACACTGCAAGACAATAGAGTAAACAGTTCCCAAGAGGTATTCGTACAGAAAGGACGTTCTTTTCGAGCCGTGCTAATAAAAGAAAATTCGATGTACAAAAGGAAACTTTCATTTCAATCACCCATTTCCGATAGAGGCGTTCGGGTGTAAGCCGTGTCCTTATGGAAAAAGTATGCCGATGTTTCGCGAGCATTGCAGCTCACTTCAACAGGGTTCGTGTGTCTCACGTCTTCGTTCAAAATAAGAGTAACCTCGTTTCGCGTATGGGACGTGCCTAAGGCAGGGCTAGAACCACTAGAACGTCCACACCTCCACTTAACCGCCTACGTTTGTCTCCGTCTTACCCTCCGCTACGCCCTCTGTCTATGCGCAGAACGGACGAAAATCGGTCCGAGAGCGAGGTTATTCTTATTTTGAACGAACAGTAGAAGTGATGATCTACAGATGAATTGATGGAAGATGCGCCATTAAGTGTTTGAGACAATATGGTACTAACATAACGGTTGTCCAGCTCATTATTTAGGAGTAGCTACTCAAGTACTCGATAGAAAATTCTCAAATTGTTGGATTGGATTAATATGGTACTAACATAACGGTTGTCTAGCTCATTATTTAGGAGTAGCTACTCAAGTACTCGATAGAAAATTCTCAAATTGTTGGATTGGACTCAATGGCCGTACATCATTGCCTTTTCACCGGACCTAACACCATTAGACTTTTTTCTTTGAAGAAAGCTGAAAGAAGACTTTTACCCACCACTCCGGAATACATGACGAATCGCACGATTACAGCTTGTGCTACTATCACGTCAGAAGCAATTGAAAGAGCATCACAATCCGTGATTTCTCGTTTCAGGCGGTGTATCCCTGCTGATGAACATAGTTTTTAGCATTTGTAACATAAAAAGTATGTTCACACTCCATCTTAACGTTTTCTCGATGTTCAAGGTCATAGGTTAGACATATTTGGAGCCATCTTAAGAAAGGAAAACGGTCGGTATTTTAGAAATCTTTTTCTCGGATGATATAAATTCAATGAAAAAGAGTTTTTGGTAATTGTTAGTTAGAGAACTTAAGAGAAGCAATAGCAGTGAAACGTCCAGGACTCTTAAATCAGTACACAGTGATTTTTCATCACAAGCCAGAGCAGATGTTGCGCGAAACGTGTGAAAAAAATTACGCGAATTCGGTTTGGGAATTTTATTACACCCGGTATATTCTCCGGACATTGTTGTCCCATTAGAGTACCGTTTGTTTCGTACCATTACAATATCTCTTAGTGGATTTGACAATATCGACTCTACAAGAAATAATATTGAAAAATGTTTGAATAAAAACAAATGAATTTTTATAGCGACACCGTATTAATTTTGCCAAAAAGATGGGAGAAAATTGTGGAACCAGAGGACCGCTATATTCTTTCACAGCATTTAAAGGTATGTTTGAAACGTTGATTTAAATGGCAGATCAATAAATGGCAATAAATATAATAAGTATTATACGAGATAAATATATTTTTCGTAATTAAATGCTTAGAGATTATGAAAGTTTAAGTACAATGCTTTATTTAATCAAACATCGAAGCCTTTCCATTTTTCAATTCATTTTCTTTACATTTATAGGTAAGACTATATAAAAATGTGTACTTTACAAACATAAAATCATTTATACAATAAAAGTCACAAGACATTGCAGAATATTCAGAAGTTAATATTATTCAACGTAGGAAGATGTAGAGAAATGCTCGTATTAATATTTCACAGAAATGTTCAAATTAATATTAACGTTCGTAAGTACTGTTACTCATAAAGAGCACTGTAGAATATATAGAGCATCTTTGAATCTGTAGTATCTCCATTGTAGTATCACATTGACGATATATACGTAAATATGATCAACGCTGGCGCTCAGACATGAACTAGATTCGAACACAGATTCACATGCATAAACATCAAATCAACAATGTTTCAATATTCACGAGCACCGTGTACATATTATCAGAAATCGTCGTTATTCGAACTCGGTAATAATAAGAAATATTACAGTCATCGTAATAAATATTTTGCACAAATCACTCGTCATCACTTGAAAGATTGTCATTCCCATCGCTAACGACGGCTACGCGCGATCACGCATGAACGCAAGCAGCCATACGTTGGCAAGCGCGTGCGCGAACGTACAGTGAAAACGTAAACATGGCCGCGGAGAGTAGCGAAGGTTTGCCAATATCTCCGTCCGAGAAATCGTTAACTGGTAGCCTAGTATCCGAGGAAAATGAGAAAAGTGTATCGCGATCGCCGTCGACTTACTCGATACGGGAGGATAAGTGGCCAGATCTGGTGGTTTCGAGGCCTAGAAAACTGGACGCCTGGTGGTTACCGAGACGTAAGTACATAGCGCGATAGGTGCATGTTTTCGATCTGTTTTCGGCGCGCGTTTCAAAGTCGACGTTTCGTCAATGCAAGGTGCGCGCGTGATTCATCGTTGACAAATGGTACACTTACATGCCTGCGCGCACACACCGGTTCTCGTTTCTTTACTGGGAAACGCCTACTTACAAGTCATCGCTCCGTCACGTGATCATCAATGGCAATATTACACGTGTTACTCGTCTGGCAACTGAAACGTCAGACAGCTTATCTTTGATACGGAGGATTACTTCACGATTATTACGTGTATCTTGCTATGAAACGATGCAAAAAATGTGGTAGTAGGTGAACATGTAGTGCTCGGTCACTTAACCAAGGATATTTTCTTAATTCCATAATTGCGGAAGTATTTTCAATGAACGAGCTGTAGTAATCTTTTGGTTAGACGATAGTAGTGTTTACAATTTTCGATTTGTTTTCGACGTATAAGAGATTAGCTCAACCAAGGTTAGCTTTGATGTTACGTGCTTCAATGAACTTACATAAGTATCAATATAACTTCGAGAAATATGAGACACATTTCTATTTTTTATCTAAAAAATTGTAATTTATCGAATAAAATTAAATCAGTATTCTTAGACTGTGCTGACGATACGTTAAAAAATAAAATGGATAAAATTAGACATTTTATTTGTCAAATGGATCGCAATAAAATAATACAAACTCAGTTGCAAGTACTACGGGGCACAACGGCTCGACACATTTAATACAAGAATCAAACGCTAATTACACAAAAAACTAACGACAACATATACAGGCAACTTAAATTTAATTTTTTCCGATGTATGCTCTTTTCTATCGCATTCTACATTATCGACATAGTTGAACAACGGAAGGTGGCAGCACATTCCAGCTTCCAGTGCGAGCATGTCTATTGATTATCGTAGGTGGAGGTAAAGTCAGCGGGAGAATCAATATTACTTTTCACCGGCGACTCGCCATTTTCGTGGAGAAATTTTTCGTGGACGAACGACGTACGGCATATGTGGTTTCCCTCGACAGTGAACAGATCTCCACGATTTAACGTATTTAAGAATCTGATCGGTGCAACGTTGAGCTACAATGTAGGATCCAACTAAGTGTGAACGACAGTTTTTCCGCTTTCGCCAATATTTCTTTTCGTCGCTTTTACCGCAGTGTCTATATTTAATTTTTTCCCGTACAACTCAACAACGTTTTAACGACTCTACGTCTGCATCGAAACGAATATTACAAAACTACCTTCTCGAAAAAGATTTGTTACTGTGCTTCGTACAAGTTACTCTACAAAGGAACGATAAATAGAACTGAGCCGTCAATTCAATACGCACCGTAATCCAATTACATTCGAGCAGCACATTGTACAGTCAGCTGATTGAAATTGCCAACGATAAAGTAAGAACTGAGATCACGAAACTGACGAGCATTACCAAAAGACAACAGAATCATCGAACTGAGTATCGTAAAAAAAAAAAAAACAAAAACATGAAGAAGTCTATTTTGATTGAAAACTTCGATAATACGTTCGAAAACGAATAGGGAAAAAATATTACGTCACTTAACGCTACATCTGCCGAGGCAATCGATAGAAAAGAGAAAGCTTGGTAATCAAGAGCAAGACCTTCAGATCGTGGAAGTGACCTAAGGGGATTTATTGTTACGAACTCGTTTTCTATGCGGCAAGAATCCCGGAACGGTCTGAAGATCAGACCACCGAGTAACTACGGTGTGCATCACGGTGGTGTCATGCTCGAAGAAGAGATGGCTGGAGCACAGGATACAATATATTTGTGCAACTTCCGTGTATCGGTTGACGGCGAATGGCTGTGCCTAAAAGAGCTTCAAGATGTCGAGTTCTCGTTGCAAGAGTCGATGCAACGGTCACCATCGCCACCGCTCGCTCTCAGTGGTATTAACCATCATCATCATCACCATCATCATCATCATCACCATCACGATCACCATCGCCAGCAACAGATATCCGATCAGCGAGAGCTTTGCGATATAATGCCGCCAAGTCCACCGCCATTGCAGCACGTTTCCAGCTTGTGTCTGTACTCGATGTTCTTGCACTATTTGCTTCACTTTACATTCTTCAACTCGTCACTTGTAACTGGAGCTCTCAAGCTTTCCATCGGCCTATCGATCTGATCCGCGGTCTGTCCCCAACTTACGAGGGAACATCGTGAAATGATAATCGCCGATTTTTATGAAATTTTGGTATACGGCAGTTTTGCAAAAAAAATATTCGACGCGTATTTTTTTTTTTGGATTGGGAATTGTTCACGTCGAAGGGGTGAAAATGATCTTCTATCTAATATCTCGAAAATTATTAGGGATAGAAGAATAGTGTAAACGAACCAATTTTGTATTTTTCAGCAAATTTGAAAAATAGAATTTAGTAAATAATTTTGACCAAAAGGCGATTTTCATCCTTGCAATGTAGACAATTACCGATTTAAAGAAAAATCTGTTAAATATTTTACTGTATACTAAAGTTTCATCAATATCGGTGATTATCGCTTGGGAATGTTTCCTTGTTAGCTTCGTGACGTAGCAACTGATCTCACTTGAACGAGCTGAAGTCTCGAAGTTTTATTCATCTTTCGTTCTATAATTAATTAACATTGTTCTGTGTGAATTTCTGAGGAAATTGATTTCAGTTTTACAGACTGTTAATATTCATATCAGAAATATCCATTTTTTTTTGCTCTGATACTTTTTCAGAACTTGGTTTTTGAGAAATGCTGGAATCAGTTTTCTTAGAGTCACCGTTATCATTTAATTTATCGTTTCTTTCGTTGTTTCGGAATTATCTTCATCTCTTTTTCTACTTCTTATTGGACGATCAAAAGATTCCATTCAAAGGATACATTAACCCTCGGACAGCGGATGGCGGGTCAAATATGACCCAGTACTAAAATCTTTTTCGTAAAAGATGAAAACACATTTTTTCATTTTACTAGGCATAAAATTGGCTAATATAAGGAGAAGAAAGTATCGGTCGAGACAAGGGACATCTAAAAGCCGGGTCATCGGTGACCCGACATCCGCCGTCTGAAGGTTAACACTTTACCGACCGGTAGCCTACTAATCGGCTTTTTGCCGCCCAACGCTTACCGACCGGTAGCCTAGTAATCCATTTCTTTTTCGCCGACGCTTACCGACCGATAACCCATTAACCGGTCAAAGTTTGATTTAACATTTCTGCAGGTATAAGGAGAAGCGCGTATATTCCCGCGCAGTAGTCTAGAGTCTAAACAGAGCCGGTGTCACCGATGTATCTGTGGCCGAGTGACCGGTCGAAAGTGCGTAGAATGTTCAACCGCTACCGGTCGGTAAAGTGTTAAGTAACCTCCAAATATTTTCTCTCTGAAATGTTGTCTATTTCTAGATTTACGTACAACCCATTGATTTCCGGCGTTCATTTTTCAATCGAACTTAGGGGATGAAAAGGGAAGAGGGTTGAAATGCGCATTTTGTGAAATGCAACAGCAGCTATAATTTTTTGTCAATATAAAACATTGGAATGCAGATTGTGCGAGGAATATCATTTTCCAGAATTCATCTAGTAAATAATAATCTTTCAATTATTAACTACAATACAAATTATAAACGAACTATTAACTATACAGCCTCTTCTGAAAGTTATCAAATGTTATTACTGTCTGCACTCATTTTACTGCCTATTTTACAGAAAGTGACATTTTTTTTTTTGCCTTAAACCAATATGTATACAAGGGGAATAGTGCAGATACAATTCTGGTATAATATGATTACGATTATTATAAAATGTGGAAAGAACATTTTGCATTTACAAATGAAAAAAATTTGTTTTAATTTAATTTTCTATTTAACGATGCATGATGTAGTTTAAGTGACGTTGAAGTATTATTGTTTATCAGTGGACTGCGGATTTTTATGGAATTCTAACATATCGGAATAGGCAAAATACACGAAAACAATGTCGGAATCTTTTGAAGCATATAAAAATCGATAATAATCCATTGATAAATGTACGATAGTACAATCGATAAAATTGCAACATTACTCTCCATGCATTTTGCATATTTTGATACGTTACAATTGCATAAACATTCGCAGTTTATTTATCAGAAATCTTTACTCAATTTTAATAATCAAACAGCTACTTCTAATTTCAATCAAATTTTATACTATAATTCCAGAACAGAAAATTTCCCCAAAGTTACGTTTACACATTTTGAAAGAGTAACAAATTTCTCCTATAACTTGTGTCAAAATTTGGCGATACGCTTTTTAGAAATTGTCAGATTTTAAAAAATTTTAAGTGCATGAAAACATCATTGCTTCGTCATTTCTTTTATGTCAGTTATGTTTCGATATCTTGTTCCGAGCAAAAAAGCAGCCGCTAATGCATTTTGCAAAATACGCACGTTAATTTTCTTCACATCTTCTCTCGCAAGTCTTATATAGCAGGAAACGTTAAGAGGGTATTCCCATTTAGAGACGTCATTTTTAGGCCATTTTTAGGATGAAAAATTATTAGATAATTATGAACCGAGGGACCTGAAATTTTTCATACACGTTCAGTCGTATTGCAGGAAAACACAGTGCAATTTTCATGTAATTATCTGAATTATTATTTAAGTTATCACATATTTCTCAGTATTTTAAAAAATTTTCTATCAGTATTTTAAGTAAATGGTCAGTATTTAGAATAAAATGTCAGTATTACATCGATTAATACAAAAACTGTTACTATTTTCATTAAAATATTAGTAAACATAATAATTTGTCAGTATTTTAAATAGATGGTCAGTGTGTATAGTAAAACATCCTAACCTAACCTAACCTAATCTAGCCAAAAATTCAAATTTTATTGACCAAAAGACAAATAGAAAATAAAACATATATAAACAATAATAAACAAATAAAAATTGGTACCGACCAAGTAAACAAAATTGTATTGAGAAAATGCGATTTAATATTGACCAATATATTTTTACCGACTATTTATTAAAAAAGAAAATAGAATTCTAACAACACATTTTCAAAATGTTACACTTTGAGAAAATGCAATAAAAAGAAATGGATTTTTTGACCTCTCCAAATGGGACTTACCCCGTTAATACGGGAAATCAGTGGTTCATATGTGAATCTACTAACGTATAAAGATCGAACAAACTTGATTCAACGTTTCTTCCTGCGCTTTGTAAAGTGTCTTTCATCTGTAATGTTTACGCGTTGGATTGGCTATGTTTTCTGTCAGCGCAGCTTTTATTTCTTTGCGTTCTATCATACCATCATTACCAACCTCCAAGAACAGTGGTTCGTTCTAATTTTTAAGCGAGAAGAACGTGAATAAGAGAGTGTACGAATGTTGAGAATAATGATTTGTCTGCTGATCGCTCACCAACTGTAACAAGAGTCCGCATCAAGAACCTGTTGTCTTTGCAGCACGAGACCCGGTCATCATCGAGAGGAGTAACCTCGTGAATATATCGAAATTAATCGTGAAGGAGCTAATCGAAACATCTTTAAAATATGGTCGTATGCTCGACTCCGATCATATGCCATTGCAACACTTTTTCATCGTTCTTGAACACGTACTTAGGCATGGTCTGCGACCGAAGAAGGTAAAAACCGACACCTTCGAACTACCTAAACACTAATTATCGTTGATGTAAATGGCACTAATTGCCTTCGTTTACAGGGTCTTCTTGGACCCAAGAAGGAGCTTTGGGATATACTTCAACTCGTTGAGAAATACTGTCCCGAAGCGCAGGACATTACGTCCAGTATTCGTGATCTGCCTACTGTTAGGTATAACATAATTCTATGATTATCACTAGCTGTCTGTTGAAAGTCAAAGTGTAACGTACGTTTAGAACGGTTATCCCGTGTAGACACCAGGAAAAATTGAACACACTTGGAATTTTAATAGAGTCGAAACATTTTCAGGCAGTTCACTCGAAACTTTGCATACTGATCTATTTGAATCCCTTTTTCTTTTTACCTGGCACGAATATTTTAATTCTAATTTATTTAATAATTAGTAAAAAGTCTCCTTGTATTTAGCATGATAGCGGTGGTTTCAATAGTCTGAAGCAGAAAGTGAGATAAATAGAAAATATTAAAAATACAAAGTATGGAATTTGAAAGGGAATGTCAACTGTTCCGCTGAAATTTTCAATTTTGACTTAAAAAGTATCTTTATATTAAAATGTCTCAGAGATCCTAATCCACTTTAAAAAGAGCCATTTATTGTACAGAATGGATCAACAAGGATTACCATCTTAAATATCTCCGAAATCATGAAAGTATGACAACAAATTTTCGTATAAAAATTGTTTGGTACAAAAGGGACCGTTCTATGGTCATAAGGATTTTTTTTTATGGGTGGATTTGCTGAAGAGATGTGAAGGTTACCTGTTTTTTTTTAACATGCCATAGTTTTTCATTTTTTAATTTTATCAACACAAGGTAACAGTATCATTCTTTGACTTTGACTGATGTTATATTAAATTATTATCAACTGAATGTAAATTATGTTTCTAAATAAAACAACGTAAATATTATTTAGTTACTACTATACTTTCTCCGTTAAAATTATACAACGCGAAATAAATTCTAACGAAGTGTACGGGGACTTTTTTTCCTGAGTGTATAAATTTTGTATGATATATTTTCAAGTACCTAAATTATCAGAAGATGCAACAAATTTTGTTTATTCGAAGTTCTACACGGGGTAACTTTCTTAATACGCTTCTGAAAAACCATAAAACAATTCTTCTCGCACATTTTTGTTTTCATTTTACAAATGTTAATAGAAATATCGCTTAAAATTCTCTCCCAGCTGTTTATCAGTAATTTACAAGATTGATCATATTACTTTCGCTATGGAACTTGATGAATTCTTGTACCAATTAATAGCTTTTAGGAGTTTATTTGTATTTAGGAGCTTTGTGACAAAGCAGCATTTTAACGATTTGTCTGTGACTAATAAGGTATTAACAATTTTGATTTGGAGTTTTTAAAGCTATATTTCTGTCAGATTTAACGTAAGCAAGGAACTCCAGGAATCTTATTAAGAGGTACACCACCTTGAGAATAGGTGAAGTTTGGGAATTTTTTTAAAGGGTAATTACTGAATGAAAAATTTCAATTTTTTTCAGAGGGTATAAATGTAACTTTCAGCTATTTCTTCAATTTTTAAAAAGGAAAAATGTTACAAAATGGAGCAGATATTCGCTAATTGCGAAACCTCTTCTGCTAGAACATAGAACTTCCGCTGGAACAAGGTGTGAAACGCCTGCAATAAAAAATTCTTTCCGATTTGTAAATAAAAATATATTACTTACAGTGTAACGCGGGATTTTTCAAAAATTGTAATTATTATAGAAATGGTGACAATTTGAAAAGGAGGAACCACTATTTGCCAAAAAAACTCAACCTTAAAGTTTCTAAAAAATTCAATAATTGACATATCGAAGAAATCGTACGCCACATTGTAAATAATATAATTTTATTTATAAATCAAAATGAATTTTTTATCTCAGACGTTCCAGTTTAGCAATAATTCCTCCACTTTCTAACATTCTTACTTAAAAATTGAAAAGGAAAGCTGAAAGTTGTATTTACGTCTTCTGAAAATATTGCAACTGTCCATTTAGTAATTACCTGCGAAAGAAATTCCCAAACTTTACCTATATACCTTTAAACACTCCAAGATGGTGAACCCCCTTAACCTGATATAAGAATATTTAGAGTTACGAGTAGAATTTTACTGAAACGAAACTGTCACAATCTTTGTTACACCTTATTATTCAATAACATATCTCAAGAAAGAAATTACCACTGGTGACTTCAATTTCATGCATTGATTAAGTTGACCTTTGCAGAACTGCTATGGGTAGGGCGCGAGCGTGGTTACGCATGGCGTTGATGCAGAAAAAGTTGGCAGACTATTTGAAAGTTCTGATCGATCACAAGGAAGACATACTGTCCGAATATTTCGAGCCAGATGCTCTGATGATGAGCGAGGAGGCAATCGTTATAATGGGCTTGCTAGTTGGTTTGAACGTAATCGATTGCAACTTTTGCGTAAAGGTCAGTCGCGTGTGTTTCTCCATCCTAGTCAGAACATTCTGAAATGTGGATAAAAAACAGAACAAAAGGCTAATTGTACCAACTACGACAGGAAGAAGACCTCGACTGCCAGCAAGGTGTGATTGATTTCTCGTTGTATCTGCGGAACAGCAATCACATACCTGGCGAATCTCCGGGCGACGAGCTCGAGAACGACAACATGACCACTGTACTCGATCAGAAAAACTATATCGAAGAACTGAATCGACATCTAAAGTAACATATTTCTCGTATATACGCTTTCTAACGATCGACGAAGCTCGATGACCCAGAATTTGTACATTCTACGTCGATTTCAGCGCGACCGTAACAAATCTTCAAGCTAAGGTAGAATCCTTGACAACCACGAACGCTCTTATGAAAGAGGACCTCTCTATCGCTAAAAATAATATACTCTCGCTTCACGACGAAAACAGACAGCTGAAGAAAGAGCTGGGTATCGAAATCAAAGATACGAACGAGGTACGGATGTGTAATTTCAGCATTTTAATGTGAATGATCGATCGTTCTTCAACGCAGCAATTTGTTGTCTGGTTTCAGAACGGGAAACCGCCGATCAAAATTACTGAAACAACGGCGGAAATCGAGGAGTTGAGAAGTAGATTAGAGGCTGAAAAGAAAATGCGGCAGGACGTAGAGAAGGAATTAGAATTACAGGTGGATGGAAATTTTTTTTACGTAATAGATTACAATCGTTGATACCTTTCTTTGTTTCTTTTTTTTTTTTTTTTTTGGTAAATAATCAATTGTAGTCGAAAGGAGAGTTGAAAGTTTGATCAATGAATTTTTTCTAAGCAGATCAGTATGAAGTCGGAAATGGAAGTGGCTATGAAGCTACTGGAGAAAGATATTCACGAGAAACAAGATACTATCATATCGTTGCGACGACAGCTCGATGAAATCAAATTAATTAACTTGGAAATGTACAAAAAGCTACAGGTGACCACTTGTATTCCTTTTCATGAATTATAATCGGGACGCAGAATGCTTCATAATATCAAAAACTTCTGGATACCTTGAAAGTAATCGATGCAAAAATACAAAATGTCTTTTCTTCATAATTATCATGATATTCGAACATTTCCACAATATTTGATTACGAGGCATACCTGTCGATTATGATCTTTTCTTACGTGTTTCCTGTGTAATTTATGTGTTCCATTGCCGTAGTTCAGAGAAACGAATTTTTCGCTGTTATGTTTCTTTCTACTTTAATTTCACATCAGCTTTTCAGATTTTTAGCAAACCTTGACTCTCTGCTCGGACAGTTTAACCATTTATGATTTCGCCCGCCACGTTGGGGGATTGGATAGCTTTTCAAATTTTCTTGTTTCTCGAGATATTTCCGTTATAGGAGTGTGAGCACGAACTAACGCAGAAAGGTGAAATGGTGAGCCGACTTCACGCGAAGACTAATCAGATCGGCAAGATTCTGGATAATCTCGAGAAGTACAACCATCTGATGAAGGACGGGGAAAATATCCGTAGTCCTACAACACCGAGTAGTGTGTCGAAATCGATCCTCAATAAAGCCAGTCCCACATCACCGCGTGAATCTTCGTCACTTGACAATGTCTCTACGGTTGATCATCAACATAAACCACCTAACAATCGGCAACAGTTTGCTAACGGTCAACAAAAATCGATGAACAATCAGAAACTATTGACTAACAAGCACAAAAAATTTAATACCGCTCAGCAACAACAACCTTCCACTAACAAAACAAATTCTCCTAACAACAACGAGAAAATGGAAGTTGATGATCAACAGGAAGGCGCTAACAATGTGAAATCGACAAAGCCTGATAACTTAGAACAGAAGGGACCCAACGGCGAGGTTCCTGCATAGACCTAGGCAAGAGAACAGTCGATTGCATAAAAGAGTACTTTCTCGACAGAACGGTTTTTATACTATGCATTTTCAAATTCTGTTAAATATTTCGACTAATTAAAAAAAGCGTATGAAAAACAGCAATTCTGTTTATACACAAGGTGTTTCTGAAGTACTCAATAACATTTTAAAGAGTTTTCATGTATGTACTAGGTTATAATGTATTTCATTATCTTATTATCAATTTCAACATATTGTCGGTTGATAATTTTGCAGAGATTTTGCAAAATATAATTTATTTATTTATTTATTTTTGGTAACGACACTTTCTTGTACAATTAAGAAACGTTATCTTTTACTTCCAGTAGGGTGTTCAGTAAATTTTTTAATTAATGTATAATAAGAGCATACGTATTATTCAAGTTAATTACATTTACTGTTTTAGGCAATTGTAATCCACGCCTGAAAATACATAATTTAAGACGAAAGATAGACATTTACGTATATTGTAACTGTTTTTAATTCAAGTAGAGTTTAATCATGAGATGTTGTTGGATTATTCAGAAACACTACTTCGGCATCGGACATTAAACAGCTATATCACTCTTTTATAGGACAGAGCTTTAAATGCCTGAAGTGCGCAAAATATTAACGAGAATTAAACAAAGTATTCGATATTTAATTATCTAACTATTCATACATCAATAAGCCTTCAATACGACATCTGTCAAGGTGTATTTTGGTTGAGATATTTTATGAAATTCACTATGCTCTGTTACAGCATAGTTAAACTGTTTAATGAAATTACTATTGTGTGCACAGAACTATTGAGGACAATAAGATTAATAGACATTTTCTTCTGTACCATTACCACTGTAATGTACAATTGGTATGCGTTTTATCCTAACATTAGATTCTGATTATATTTACTTTTCTCTCTCTCTCTCTCTCTCTCTCTCTCTCTCTCTTCTGTCTCTCTTTTCTCTCTTTTCGAATCTCTCTTAATTTCAATTTATATTTCTAAAATATCTCTTGATTTTGTTTATCTTTATTGAATGTTTCCACAATATATTTGTGATCAACACAACAAAAGGTGATACTAATTGGCAGGTGGTTAATTACTTTATTCCATTTGAAGCTTGACGAAGAAAATTCATGTTGAAATTATGTTCAAGGGGATTGAAAATTCATATTACCTCCTTTTCAATTCATTTTACTCTGATACAGAATTATGTCACTCGAATGTTTTTGAAATGTTATTTTATACGTAATGCTATGTGAGGTTTCCTATTTAACGTGATTAGCCAAAATATTTTTATCATTTGGAATAGTACGAAAGAATGGTTGAGTCCAAGTGTTGTAGAATTATGGGGACAAATATAACTAACAAACTATTTACAAAAAGATAAGTAAGTGTGATGATTCAAGTACAGTTTTCATCATATAGAAGGACTTTTTGTGGCAACATTGCTGGTATATTAATGTAGGAACGTGAGGGCAAGCTGTACTGTATTTAACAACTTATAAAAATTTATATCTGGCCAACTTCTCAGGACAGGTTGATTGGGGATTGTACTTTTCTTTTTCATTTCAAGATCATCGTTGTTTTTCTAAATAGAACGCACATTGACTGTATACAAATTCTGATACATACATATATTCCAACATTTGATGCAAAATTGTCATATTAATAACAATAACCTTTCAATGTTCGGTAGACATGAATCATTGTACAGTAGAATTTCGATAATTCGGCACGCTCGGAACTTCGGCAATGCCGGATTATCAAATATGCCGGATTATTGGACTACATCTGTGTAATGCAGCAAAAATGAGAAAAATAATTTAAATAATTAAAAAAACAAAAACAAAAGCACCCTTAACTGATTAGACCGGATGTCGGATTATCGGAATTCTACTGTATATGTTGACATAATACAAACAAAAGAAGTGTGAAAATTAATTTCACACAACATTTCGGTTTCGAGTCATTTTAAGCTACATTACTGAATTTGTCTTTGTTCGATCCAAAGGACGGACAAATTGTTGCCTAGAACTCAACACCATTTGCATTAAACCCAAACGGAGGAACCATCCGCCCTTAAAATGTACCATTTTCAGACATCGACAGTTTTAATAACAATTTCCCATCACCAGAAGGAACATATCTGACACACACGACGAAACAATACGTACCAAAAGGGAAACATGACACTTATACGCAATGACTGACTAATAGTGTACGATCGGCGCCTCTGTACCCATTAAAAGGAGCAATAACAGCGAGAAAATTAACCCTTTACAATCCGTGTAATCGAGATAGTCCGCTCTCATTTGGCCACCGTCGGGCAATACCGTGTAGGTTGCCTCTATTTCAATATTTCAGCGTAATATTAATTATAAAATAATAAGTTTCAGTATAATATTAATGCACAAAGAAATGGTTTATTATTGTTTGTAATTTATCATTTTTCGTTGTATGATATCTGAAGGTAAACATTCCTTTCGAGTCTGACTCGACATAGGACTGTAAAGGGTTAAAAGAACTAAAGGCGTAGAGCAGGGGTGTCGAACTTCCCCTCTGCGAGCCACACAGGTGACCAACATGGCAGTTAACGTGTTAATACTTAATTTTTCAGCGTGTAATCCGTTGGATCACACCGTTTACTCAATCTTTTTTCCCCATCATATTGAATGATCCATCAAGTCACACCGCCTTGAACGTGTTAATAAAAGCGCAAACACACCAGAGGGATTCCTCGGTGAAACACGATTTGAACAAGACCTTTATAGCAACACGCTTAGTGAAACACGAATTAAAACACAACAATTGTAAAGAACATGTAGAATACGACACGAATTCTTATATTTCAACTAGGCTTAGTGATGAATTTCATTAAAAAGCCAGCGTTTCGACACATCGTCGCGAACGACTATAAGCGGAACTTTGAGAAACGAGAAGGAGAAACAGAAACAGTGTAATTCTGTTTAAGAAACAACGATGCTCTTGAAATCTAAGAAAACGCAAATAAAGTTATTAACGATAATATTTGTTTTCATAAGCTTTGCTCGTATGGGACATTCTCAGTTATACCGATACAAGCTGAACTACAACTGAACTACAAACTAAAACTGTACATTTCATTTCTGAGCATTATGTGCGATTTCAGGGCTGCCTTTTAATCGAGAAACAGACTGCTTATTTCGTTTTTTTACTGAAGCAGGGTTTATTTCAGGAGTGCGAAGGCTCGCTTAAGCATAAGACAGAACTGATCACTAAATTGGAGGCTAAGACGATATCGATGACTGAGACCATCCAAAAGATGGATGAAAAGTATGTTTATTTGTCTTTCATTAGTGTTAGTTATTTCGTAAGCACGACTGATTCATCGGTTTCAGGTTACATTCGAAGCGATCAATACTTACTTTAGTAACGTTAATACTATCATCCTGTCAAGTGTATACTTTATCTCGCTTCTCGAATATGCTCGTGAAACTCGGAGCTTTAACGCTCACGGCTGTAAAACTTTTCCTGTCATGTTCACATTTTTGCACGCTATTTCGAATCATTGTGTAACCAGCAAAGGGTGATTGGTACTTGCAAAAGCTCCGATTTTATTGACATTTTCCTAATTTGTAGAAAACCGTAGATATGGGAGAATCTTTTATTCTCGTTACACCTTCTTCAATTCTGCAGATCGAAAATAGTACGAAGTATGTCAAATATGTTTCGTTATGTTCGTTTAATTTCCGACAAAATTCATATCTTTCTTAAAAAGCCGATAAAGTCGCGTGAACCTGTTTCCGACATTCTGACAAAAGTTCACGGAAATGTAAGAACTTCGGTGTTTCGTTCGCAAAAGTCATCATCACATCGATCCTTGAAATTTCGCTAAATCTTACGATCATTTCGATCTGAATGCATCACGTGAGAGGGTGCACCGGAAAAATGCTATTAAATACTCGAGCGGCAGAAATCTTCACTATCGTTAAACGTTCTAGCATTTACGTACAAATCTAGTCATAGTGATAAGGCATTTTCTATCGCGTGACGATATCGAGAAACGATATGCGCTCGACACGGCTGTAGTTAGAGGTGATTTATTTTTTACATAGAATAACCGCGATCTGACTTAGGCTGACTTAGACTAGCCGAGAGGAACATTAGAAAGAAATTGGAAATATCGTTAACGGAGATGTTGGCAAACCTTCACTCAACGGCTACTCGATTAAGAATTATTAAGTATATGTATTATTAAGTCTATACATATATTATATACATATATTATAAATATTAATGTTATACAGATATTCCACGTTTCCCGCAATAATTGGTAGATTTATAACTCGAACCGAGTGTCCAGTTTGCTGGAACAAAATATCGATTACCGTCAGAGTGTAACACATAGAGTGGTGTTGTGCTTTTTTCGAATCGATCATCTTGCTCATGTGTAAAAAAAAAAAAAAAAGATACAATTCTCGTTTTGTTAATCGCCCGTCAATTCTGACCTATTGACGGTGTTTTTGGTCAATTAGGGATTTATCAATTGTATAGTATCTCTCGTATTTAAAGAGCTGACTTGCGATCATTTTTATTATCGTTTTCCTCTACACATTGTACCTATTTATTTAATTCTCTTCTCTGTTTTTTTTTTTTTTTTCGTTTTCTTTCTTGTGCTTTTGTATCGACCAAATTGCTTCTCAATGTATATTCTTCGTCGTTACAGATATATAATGTATATACCGTTTGTGTCGTTCACGTTCACCTACAGATATACGAAGTAAACGTGCCATACAATACTTTATACAAATATAGTTATGTATAAGCATCGAGCAATGATCTTTATAATGCACCGAAACTTTGCGTGTGCTTGTATATCAAAGCGGCGAAAATAAATTCATGACAGAAGATAGTTTGCATTTAATTACCCTTAGATCATTATCGTTTAGATCTGAGACGAGAGAACTTCAGTTCGGATGAAAATGTCTTCGGTGTAATCTTCGTAAAAGTTGTGAAGTACGAACAATGCGCCAAAAGAAAAAAAAAAAAACAAGAATTTCGATCATTTTTATTTCTTCGTAATTTTCCTCTTTTTTTTTTTCTCTACAAATTTCACTCATGTTCAACGTTACTTTGGATTTTCGTTAAACGTGTTCGATGTGAAAGAAGAAATTGCTACTCGAGTCGTTTCTTTGTAATTTCGGAATTCGCACTAATTACAATTTTCCTAGAGAGAGAGTGTGTGGCAGGTTTCTATCGAAGCACAAGGTAAGTCAAGCTTTTGCGGCGTTAAAGATTGGATTACGAACTCGGGGAAAAATAAACGAACAAGGGGGGGATCTGGATCCCAGTTTGCTGAATTCACTCGGGGATTATAGTATAAAGCCATTAAAAAAACATTCTGCCTGTTTCTTCAGCCGGATAATGGTATTCAGTCATGAATAATCATGGAGAAACTTTCAACGAGACTCGTAACTAAGTTACAAATTCTTGCTTTTGTAACTTCCTTTGGTTGAAAACCTTAACATTTCTGCAAAGCCAAGCAACGAAATTGCATACTCCACTTTGTCAAACGAATTCTCCTTAAGTGGATGATCATCGAATCAATTTAATTTTTCCTTTGCATCATTCATCCGAGGATACGTTCTCTAACTAACAAGAATTATGCAAGAATTTCACGATCGTTGCAACTTGAACGTTGTCCCGTTGTAATTAACTAGGTTACTTAAAATTACCATCATCATTGAAATGATCGCAAGACAGTGCTTCAAATACGCCTTTCTGCAGGCTAACTGTATTACCGAATGTACGAGTATAACAATGATTTCTACAGTGATGACTATTCCATTTTTAATTCGTTCATATTTCATCGGTTACGTTCCGAGTAATTCAAATTACAAAATTTGTGTATACGTGTGAGAGAGCACATGTTGGACAGTTGTCACGTCCTAATCTTAATTGTAACAGTAATTTCAACGTATTAGCTCCAAGCTTTCGCGTGATGTTAGAACTTCTACGTTTCATTTTTGCTTAAAATCTTCTCGATAGAGCCTTAACTATTCAGAAAAATCTAAATTGACCTTTCAACGTAATTTCTGCATTTCTGCAATTATTTAAGTAACATTAGAGACTGCCGCCAGTCGTCACGCATATGAAATTCCCACGTTTCTCGATAGTTTTACACGAATGGTGCGAGAAAGAGTATAGCAGTGTGTTTGACGGTTTGAGTATCGGTGATTTGATTTAATCAGGTGCAAGGAAATGGATGGCGTAAGAACAGGCGCAGAGGAGAGGATGAAGATTTTGGGCGCTGAAGCTGCCAAGACAGAAGAAAAGGTGAACGGGGTCGAGAAGGAATTGCGAGTCGAACGTGAATGGAGAACTTCCTTGCAGGAAGCATCGATGTCTAACGCGGAGCAGATCTCTAAATTACGTCAGGAAATCCGTCTATTGAGGCTGGTGTCTGAGGTACGTTGTGTGTAACTCAACTTCACTATATTGCGAATATACGCCACACGTCTATAAGTATTTGGCCACCTTCGTTGTATTAGAAATATATATACGAAATATGGTGTTGATATATGATTCTGCAATGTGGCCTTCGCCTCTGTTTTTCTCTCGCAGACTATTGTACAGGTATTAGTTAACGAGACAGATAAGATTTATCGCCAATTACTATTATAGTATCGGGGTCTCCGTACCTAAATAGGAAACCTCGAAGGGAGAATAGAGAGGGAGTAGTTGGCGTAGTGCGCAAAGCTTCGGCTTGCTAAGCCGAAGGTCCCGGGTTCGATTCTTCGTTGTTGGGTCCTTCGAAATTCTTTCCGTCGGTATTTCATGTATGTGTATTTGGTTGGAACGACAGTTCGTAGGATTTTTTAAGTGAAATTGAAAGACAATGTTTAGATATGTGTATGTATATAAATTTATTCAACCACGTGTATGCTATTTCGTGCCACTGTCTTTCGCCATTTTTCAGGGAGTTTCATGATTCTATCTTCTCAAAACTTGGCATCTTTCTGAGCGATCAAGTGGTTTGACAAACGCTATGAACTTTTCTTCCAATCCAATGCTATTGGATAAATTAAAAATGCCAATTAACGTTTTTAATATCAGGATAACGGATTATCCTATGTTTGTGATACGGTCGGTACATCTGCTGTTTCTGAGAACTCGAACCTTCGTTCTCTTAGCATGCATTTTAACTTTAGGATCAGGAGAGACGCCTTAATTGGGATTTTAACCGTTTCGCCTCTCCTACTCAATAGCAAGTAATCTTATTCTTCAGGCCAAGGACTGATGCATATTTACACGACAATAGACGATCAGGACCTAACGGTCTTTCCAGAATTTCCGCTGTGTATCGTTATATGCATTTGACGTACCAACGACAGAACCAAAACGCTCTCGAAATTTCCTACCTTTCCTACTCATTTTCCATTGGACAGGACTATTTCCCCACCTTTTTTCCATGTTCCTTAGGCCGTATTTATACTTTTCGAGGTCCTAGGCGCAACATCATTACGAGGCCTCGAAAGAACAAATCTGTTTCAGTTAATCAAATAAACTTTTTTTGAAAATAAAAGTCGACATTTCCATAATAACTCATTTTAACGAAGCCTTATAAATTTGGCGTTTCTGTTTTCAGCAGCTTCTTGTTTTTATATTATGAATTTAATATTTGAAAATAAGTATTTTAATTTGCAGCTATAATTAAGCTGTTTTCTATATTGCTATTTGTGAGGAGTAAGGACTTAAAATGTAGCGAGTGAAGTCCCAGCTTACGCCTAATGCGCCTTATAGTAAATGCGGTCATGTCCTTAAGATACACATTTTGACGGACGATCATGTATAAAAGGATCGGGACACTTAAAATTTCAGATTATTGTTACACGTTGTTATTATTACTGTACTATGGACATCACACACCAATGATGGTTAAGGAGGACTCGTCAATGGACGAGTTAGCAAACGAGTTACAGTCAGCAAATTAGCTCATAGGAATGTATTCTGATTGCTAATAAAATGAAAAAAAAAAAGAAATTTTGTAAAGGACATTTGCGATATTTATAGTATATTTCAAATATTTGTACGGACATTCGTGATAAGTGTAAGGATACTTGTAAAGAATATTTCAGAGATTCGCTCAAGGATTCTATCGAACATTTTTGTTATTGCTGTCTTAAAATTTGTGCTGACAAATAAATATACAATTATTTGCTAAATAATCGGCTTCGCGAATACTGTGGGAGCCACGATATATTATTTGAAGATTGTTTTTTTGCCTGAGGTATCGCAAAGCTATGCAATCAACGTAGATCAATTAGCTAGTCGAATTTTAAGAACGTGGAACTGATAGGGAATGAAGTAAACAACATAAACGATAATCTTTGGAAGAAAGCAGTGGATAAAATACTAAACATTGAAGCAGGATACAGGTGAAAACGAAGACCATTATAAGAATTTGCAAGACGACAGAGGTTGCGCAAGCGCGGTGAATACATTATACAATCCTGACTGAGGGAATGAGGGAAGCGAAGAAGTCTTCTCAGAAGCCAAAAATGATTAACTCCACTTTTTGATGTTCTTCCAATGTTAACATCAAAACACTTAAGCTTGATGCTTAATTCTTCCTAAATAAAACAAATTTAACAAATTCTATTTTATAGAAGTTAGTCACTTTAGCTTCTGAGTGGCTCGTTTCTCTCAATTCCTTTGGTAGATCACACTCGAAACATGTTTACCCCGACTCCTGACCGATTTCACTACTATACTTTATTTTCCAGGAATATTTCAATCGCTTAATTCCTTCTTCCCCACTTTAAGCAGCGAAACTCTTCTTAAACTTCATCGAGCCTTCTTGACTCGAATCGGTCTTTAACAACCGGTACCGAGGCGCGAAATGGAAGAACATTGGACAAAGTTTCCAGGTGTCGAACGTGTAATTGCAGCCCGTGTGGTGGTGTTGCAGAAATACATGGAGCTGCAGGAGGAACATTACGCGCTGAAGGAGATCTGCACGGAGCAGAAACGAACTCTGGAGGAACTCGGGGGACAATTGAGCGCGGCTAAATTGGCGGCCGTGGAATTACGTGAGGCCGCTGACAACGCTCAACACCAACATGACCTGCACCAGCACCAGCAACAGGGTACAACAACCTGGGCGAACGATCGGTTGGTCACCCATTGCAAGAGCTGCAACCGTGAGTTCAACATCACTCGTCGCAAGGTAATCAAACTTTTTAATTGCCCCCAAGCCTTCCGTCTCAATTGGACCGCCTCTTTCGTTCGGTTTGCTCATCGTCGACGTCGTCGTCGTCGTCGTCGTCGTCGTCGTGCCGAAATTACTCGGCTGAAAGGACGGCGTGGCAGGCTTAATCGTTCAATTATCCTTACCACCCTGAAAATTACCGGTTCCACGGTCCAGATTTCTCCCTACACAGTCGGTCCGAATCGGTACGCGTGCTCAGAACGAACGCTAATGGCATCGAGACGTTTTATCGTAGCGACATGGCTACGCCTATTCTTGACCTCTCGTCTAGCCACCTTGAAGATCGGAATCGCGTGTACTCGCTGGAGAACTTCAATGCATGACAGTTCTGTTATTAGAGATAACACGGTGTATCGGGCTGCACGGCTTGCAATTACAAGCAACCCCGATCCTCGTTTGTTGCTAGTCCGTGCACTTCCTTCCTTCTTTCCTGACTTCCACAACCGACGGTAATTGAAGAGATTTCATCGTGGATTTTTGATTAGATTCTATCGTATTATCCTCGCGACGCGATTTCTAAAGCTGTATTTTCATAGTTTCTATATGTATAATGATGTATCCCCCCTAAATTTCTGCTATCTTCTCATTGAAAAGTTTCTGTTCTTAATAGGTTCGGATAGCGTGTTTCGATTTGTTTCAGTAAAATGTCAACTTTGATCGCGCTACTATTTTATCATTTTTTGGATTAACTGCAAATTTTAATATCGTCAGTGTATTTCTTTCTTTTTTTTTTACTGTACAATAAAGTCCAGATGTTTGCATTCTCCCATCGTTTATCCTCGAATGATTTTTTATTAAGTGAATTTTAAAGGGGTACGTTACCTTGAGGCTCCTGAAAATAGGTAAAAGTTTGGGAATTTCTTCATAGGTAACTGCTAAATGAAGAGTTCCAATTTCCTCAGAGGATATAAATGTAACTTTCAGCTTTATTCCCCAATTTTGAAAAAGTAAGAATGTTACAAAATGGAGGAGTTATTGTGAAACCTCTTCTGCTGGAACATCGACTGCTGACCGTCATCGCTGGCAAGGATTGGAACGTTTCAAATAAAAACTTCTTTTTCATTTATAAATAAAAGTATAATATTTACAATGTAGCGTAAGATTTTTCAAAAATTGCAATTATTATAGAAATGTTGGCAGTTGGAAGAGAAAGAACCTCTTTTTACCAAAAAAATCAACTGTAACCATTTCTAAAAAATTAAAAAATTGACTTATCGAAAAAATCGTACTCCACATGGTAGGTAATACACTTTGATTTATAAATTTAAAAGAAATTTTATATTTCAGACTCATCTCTCATTGTCAGTCTCATCTCTCATTGTCAGTCTCATCCACACATACTCACACTCACTATTATACGATCTTACCTTTTCTTTTTTCTTCTTCACTTTCCTTAAACCATTCCCGTCGCGAACTATGTGTCCTCGGCCCTTTACATTCACTCTCTCCAACACTTTGCATTCTCGTAACGTATAGTCTAAATGTTCCCCATCTATCCTTGCATAACTCGCATCTCCTTTTCT